TCCCTCTTCTTATCATATTGGGCCTGTGAGGCCCAGATTAGCCTTGTTTGCGTTGATAAGCTTTGGGCTGGGCTCTTCTGGTTTTTGGGCTTCCATCTTTCTTTGATTTTTGCAGCTTTATTCTGGGCCTCATTTTCGCTAGGCTGGGTGTGTCAATTTTTAGGCCCAAACAATGCCCCCTTAAGTCTGAATCGTTTTGGAACGGTTTCAGACTTAAATGACATGGCCATTAAATTGGCGCGTGGTAAATTCCTCGATTACCCCACGTCTGCCACTCTTCCCCACTAAGCTAGTGCAGTTTCTAGCTCTTTATTAGCTAGTCAATATCAGGTGACGCTTTGTCTTCTCCACGTCGATGTCTTCTCTTTCCCACGTTTTCTGGCTTCTTTAAAACAATTTCAAAAAACCCCCCGTTTCTGTTCACCTGAAAACCTAGTTCTTTCAAACTCCATTCCTCTTGAGCTTTCTTTCTTTTGATAACTCCCTTTCGCTCGATCCTGCCTTGCCCTTCCTATCAACCTTCCTTTTAGAAAAAATAACTCCGAGAAATGTCTTCCTCGAAATCCCGTGCTCAGTCTTCCTCTGTTCCAGTCCCTCCGGATTACATTACTGGGGCTGGGATAGATAAGCATGCGATAGAGGTTAGGAGCAAGCTCCATCCTTTTGCCCAGAAAAACCTAGACGAAAATGTCCTCCATTTGTTTGAAAATACCTTGGTGCTGGGGCCTCACTGGTTTGGCCCCGTTCCTCCCGAGATGGCGGAGCTGATGAAGAAGGATGCTAAGGCCCCTCTATGTTTCGAGAGTTCTTCTGCTCTGGCTTCTCATTCTTGGGTTAGCAAGAATTTGAGCCGTTCGTTCCCATCAAGTGAAGTGAGAAATAGTCCAGTCAAGTGGGCTGATTGGATTGATAGGCTTCTTCCCCGATTTGGGGCTCACTGGAAACGGGCTGAAATTTATGACGCCATACTTCTGTCCAGGCAATCTATCAACAGGGATGAGAACCTGCTTGCTGCTGCTCTGTGTTTCTGGAATTCTGCCAGTAACATTTTCGACTTTCGCATAGGCCCCATGGCCCCAACTCTGCTGGATATGGCTCAGATTTTTGGTTTTAGGCCTCGTGGAAGACCTGTTGATGCTGTTGGTGATTATCACAGGAAGAAGGACCAGCAGAAGCTAGCCAAGCCG